AAAAAACTGTTGAGTCCATCACCTGGTTCAATCTGCTCAGTCGGTTACTGTGAGAATTGGGCAGTTCGGTAAATTGGTCATCGTCAGCCTTTTTCGATCGACCGCTCGTAAAAGGCCGCACCGTAATTTCTCCATTAAGATGGTTCTTGTCTTCGTTGTCCAAATAAATTTTTTCATTCGAGTAAGCCGTCTTTAAAGAACTTTGTCTGTTTCCATATCAGGGATAATCATTGAAATCTGTTCAAGCCGTCATGCGATGTTTACCAGTATTCGTAGAAGATAATATTTCCCATTTGATTTTCTGATTTCTTTTGCCATCTGATCGTCGCATGGTACTCCATTTCTTACAGCATTACATCTCAACAACAAGGTGGTAGCCGGTTAACAGTCGTGTGCCTCTTTTAAAGCGAACATCCATTACGAAGGGTCGTGAGTCAGACGATACGATGTTCCAATCCATCATCGACTTCTGTCCAAAGGTTCCGTTTACCAGATATTGTGGTGAACGCCTCGATGCTCAAAGAAGGTGTTCATAATAGACAGTCTCTTGCTTGCACACAACTGCAGCAACTTCATACCGTTATTGTTGAGGTCGTTAAGGTCATTTTTTCCAGTCACGCCTTTCCACTTTTTGCTCCAATATTACTTACATTACCTACTTGCTTTTAGCATACGCGTTGCCAAAGCTATATTATAAGCTTCATTATTGTGTTTCTTGCGCGATTCATTCAAAAGTTGTCAGGAATCGATCTAGAGAGGCTCGCAAAGACCGAACACCACCTCCTCGATTTCCACAGAAGGTATATTAGTTCCTTTTTTCATAATTTAATAATCTTTCATCGTTTCTCAGGTCACGCCGCCGATGCTGCGTCCTGGAGTTCCGGGAGTCCCTGGACGTCCGCCAATATAAATATCTGGAATAATATTAGCTGAAAATGAGTTCGAAATAAAATATTATAACGGGACGTTATATTGTTTTGCACATCGTAAGTTAAATTGTACTGTATTTTAGATGTGAAACTTCAGTTTGTTTATGTTTACAAACAACAGCATTCTTGCCAGTACTATAGAAATCATAGACTGCATAAAATGTGCCTGATTGGCACAGTATGATGAGTATGTAAACTGCAGTTAAATTTGAGTACCGAAACCTTCAAGACGAAATGTTCATTTTTCTGTAATTCAGTGCTTTGGCGATGTATCTTGCGCACAAGAAACCGTTCTGAAATATTATCGGAGCTTACCATGGTTCAGCGGCACAACTAGCATGTCCAACGATTGTTTATTGAATTGCCAACGCGGAATGTGGTTTGTTTATCCGTAAACACCATCTGAGCAGTGGCAGAAAAGAAATGAAAATGACTAATTTACGAATGCCTGAACATCAGATTCTTAAGTGTTATTTCCTCGACATTTAAGTAATTAATCGACGTAATGCAAGGCCATCACTATAATTGTTGAGCAGATACGTTTTGGCTTGACTTGAGGTTGATGTAATTGGTTCATCGCCAACGATTTAGATGGCCGCCATACGTCATAACTCAGTACATCTTCATGAAGTTCCAGTACAGACGTACATATGCAGTCTTTCTATCACTGATACAGTGTTAGGCGTCTGTGTCGTTAAGGTTTAATGCATAATCATAATACATCGTAGACATTATGGTAAAGTCAGTGGTTGCAGATTAAAGAATGAAATTCGATTTGAATCGGTAAGCTGCCATAGTGCTAGTTATTATATCCGCGACTTTACTTGTTATGCCTGAGTAGGGCGATGCAAAGCAAGCTGAAACTCGAAAATTTGGGTCTGCCACTGGTGCTATCTGTGAGAAATATAAAGACCGATAATTCAATGGGGCAGAACTACGAATGCTAGATGCGGTTCAGTAAACAGTCTTGAGTTCGGTCCGCGTGATTAAAGCATCGGTGGACTCCTGTATGGTTAGCTAGTTTTATTATTTGGGCAGATTTTTTAAATAAGGCAGATCAAGTGTTCGTAGTAACGTTAGGTTATCCCTTTTATCATTGTTTTGAATTTCTCTTGAATACCGTCACTGCATATTTGTCATTATCACTGTGAGGGACTCTTGAAGAGCAGAGTTTTCTACTTCAGCGCTAAATAAAAAATTTTTAAATAGCTACTCTCTTACGCTAGTTCACATCAGGTATATCTTCTGAAAGCTGCATAAAATTACTTTGGCAATGTTTTACATATCTGCTGAGAAGTCCTGAAAGTTTCGTATTTATTTTTCACATATCAAAAGAACATCTCTATCCATAAAAAATAAAACCGGTTTCAGCATCATCAGTTCATACAATGCTCTGTTGTCGTGCATGTCACTCACAGTGACTGTTGCTCACCGGATCAATTGTAGGGTTTTGTAGAGTCTGCTTGTTGGAAAAACATGTCAGTGACTTTGAAGCAACAAATAACATTCTTCTAACAAATGTTTAATTTCGACAATGATCAGTCGGCTGACTTCATGTCACGGTCTTGTACGATATCGAAGGAATGCCAATGGTTTCAGCCTGTACATGGGATCAGTCCAGAAGGTGCATCCGCTTCTTCACCCAAAGTAAGGAGGGGCCCGGTGAAGACATTGACTGAAGAGGGTTACATGCGCAGTGCAGAAGTTGATCGAAGGACGAGGCTGTTATGAGTTCAATGAGCGAGACAACTTGCAGATGACGGAGCGGCGCAGAGGTGATGTTGATTTAACAAGGCACTTGCGCAGGGTAACGTCGGGCGATCAGTCGGTGGACGAAGCTGTCATGAGTTCATTGCGCGAGAAACAAACAGCAGAACCACTGCAATCAACAGTCCATCGATGAACTGAAACCGTTGCCTAGAAGCTACGTTGCATCCGTCAGACCTGCACGTCTGAACGCACCCACTGTAGTATATATCGTCCAGAACGAAATGACCGCAATGGCTCATTCGAACTATTTCCGTGTCAGCGGTCAACGAACCACTGTCCATGGCGCAAGTGCGAATCATTATCGTAAGGTTGGCGTTCGAGGCTAGAAATAAGCACCGGCAATAAGGTAATGGCGCTACTGACAAATGGAGGATGAACTTTCAAATCATTATTATCTTCGCACAAAAATAAACCCGGTCTTATGGGTTTACTGTCATGCTGCTAGTTTTCGATACTGTCGTTCAGAAAAACTAAATTTTCTCCTTTGATAACCAGACATAATAACAGCACAGTCCCCTTGCTTCTAATGATCCAGGGGTCCAATTAAGCAGGCCATAGCTCTATGGTATTTGAGCATTTGCACTGCATGGATGCCAAATTGCACCACCAGATTTAGCTCATGTATGTTACACATGTTGTGCGACACGAAGAATCCGCATGACCGGATGTCAAACAAAAAGCTATAATAGTATAACTCAGAGCAGAAGCATTGTTTAAGTGCTCAAGAATAAGCTGAACTAGTGATCGAAATGAAAGAGAATACTCTCCTTTTAAAGTAGTAAGAGTTACTTTCCCGTGACTCCTGTTCTGTAATGTTATAAGGGAAGTTTTGACAAAATAAAGGGTCAGGCAGCAGCTACCTCTGGGATTTCGACGAAGTAAGACAGTGCTGCAATTGACTCATTAATGAAAGATAAGCATAATCACGTGAGTTTCTGCTTGGGTAACGCAATCCATTAACTAAACGTTAAATAAAATGCTAAAAAATAAAGGGTCGATGCATTATAAATAATTATGAATAACTAAGAGTGATTAATCAAATAGAACCACTGTGCAACTACAACATAAATTTTTCGGTTAGCTGGATTGGTTCCAGTTATGCCAAAAACTAAAAGAATTTACGGATTTGCAAACGACCTTCAGCTGATACTTCAATCATTCAGCCAATCAATCAATCAATCAGAGAGCCAGACAGATGTAATCTATAATTAAGACAGCAG